TAACAGCCGAACAAGCACTTGCTGATTACGCTCTTCTCATCACCGATTTGAAGAAAAATTTATCAGCCGAAGCATCACCTGTAATCTTGTTCGGCTGATCATACGATGGAAGTAATATCTTTTCCAACAATTTCAACAAAAATTAAACAAGCACTTGCTGATTACGCTCATCTCATCCCATTTACCTGAAGTACCTGGTTACCACAATGTTTTAGTTGAACACATGTGTATTTTGTTGGTATTCTGTGTACAAATAGTAACATTAATGGTATTTTTTGTACTAAAAAACAATAATGGTATTTTTTGAACATTTGGAAACCGGATAACCTACAACAGCCGGTAAAATAGTATTTTGTGTACAAAAAAAACAACAATGATCTTTTTTGTACACTTTTGAAACTTCGTTACCTTTTTAAGTCATTATCCCTTCTTTTAACTTAACATTTAATAGAATGAACAGGTATTAAAGCCACCGTCTATAAAAACCAATCAAATCAAAGAAACAACTTAACTCAAAATGAAATAAATAACAGTTCGGTATAATTTGTGTCAAGCATTAAAGACACCATCAATGCAAACCACTGTCCACGAACCTTTATAGATTCCAAAATCATAAAAAGAATTAAAACGAAACGGTTTCACCCCACGTAAAACATTATATATTGATATTTCTACACACTCTTTGCATCTCTTTGAAGACAAACACCAGACCACCAGACACGGTCGCCGGAATAACCACTGTGTTATGCAGCACCGCCAAATACTCAACCATCTCTCCTTATATCTCTACGTTCACACACCTGCACCACCACACACAACTACCTTTGATCTCCCTACACCTGCGTTTTACCAGCTTCAGACACTAAGCATAGCGAAACACTAGCTCTAAAATCCTAACTCTGAAAAATCATAATAATTACAGATTATCGATCACCACCACCACTACTACCCTAGATTTCGTTGTTCATCAACTTCACCCTCCTGTTAAATCTGTTTATTTTAACCACTGGTAGGGTAGTGGGTAGCGTGGAGAATGAAATGTTCGTAAACCTGTGATGGAATAGAACTTCCCTAGATCGGGTCCTTCCTGCATAACGATTTCAGAAAATTAGGGCTTCGGTTTTTGTTAGTTTGCTACAAATATCGAATTTAATGTTTTTTCTTTTTAACTGGAATTTCTAAAAGATGAATACAATTTAAAGGTTTTCTTCATCTGATGTATGCGTATTTTCATGTGTTTTATTGAAAATCAATTTTTCAAATTCTAGTGTGTATGTGTGTTCTTTCAGAAATCAGTAATGAAAATGAACATGAAAGATGAAGATAGAGATCTACAACGATACTCATTGTAATGGGTGGGAGTTGGATTTGAGATATGTTATTTGAATTTAGAATTTCCATACAGAGATTCACACCAAATATGAAATGGTTTATAGCTTTTCATTTAGATGTTATATATGGTAAAAGGTGGTGGTGGGACCCAGTCTTCTCATTAAGTGTATTTTGATTTTATCAATTTTGTTAATCGTATATATTTTTTTTTCTGGGTTTCTTCTTCATAGATGAGGATGATGAAGGAGAATGAAGTAGGAGGGAAGATGATGAACTGGAAAGGGAAAATGAAGCGGGAGGGAAGATGAGGGGTTAATTTCCAAATCAAAACAAATATAGTTGAACTAAACATATAATTTTAAGAAAACCACATAGACTAAATTCGTAATTTTAACCGAATAATAAAAACAACTTTGTAATTTCAATAACTTTTATAGATGGACAAGTGTCAATTGGTCATCGGCTCCTAACATGATACCCTAAATATTTATTTTTCAAAGCATTTAATCATATATATATATATATATATATATATATATATATATATATATATATATATATATATATATATATATGAGTAAGATCAAATGAGAACATTAAAAAGGTTGAGAACGTAAGAACAAATCTGAAATCATATAAACTATAAGATCTACGGTTTAGATCAAGTGTGCCATTTATGTCAAAATTTAAAGCTAATGGAGCCAATTTGTAACTTTTAAATGAACGTAAGATTAGTATAGGAATTTCATTCTTTTAGGATACATAAAATCAGCCTTTTAAATATGGAATACTTCTTTCTTTGAATATCTAATTCAATTAGGGTTTCTTATCAACCCTTCCAGCCATCAACCCTTTTCCGCTCGTTACTATTGACTGAAGTGTTGCGACAGAGCTATTGCCGGTGAGTTGCTATTGTATTTTATTTGTTATTGGGCGATGGTGAAGATAACCTACAACATCTTATTTGTCTAATTTCCATTGTTGATGCACGTAAGATTTCTTTGTTTTTCTTCTCGTTTTGGCCTTCACGTCAATATCCATAGCACTAGAATTCACGTCTTGAATTCCTTTATTTTTATGCATACTGAATTTTGATTTTTATGTTGATGAACTTTTCTTTATTTAAAATCCATTTTCACATTTAAGTTTTGCTAAAAATCAAAGAATGAATGATAATGCTAAACTCATTATTAATGGTGTGCGTAATTTCCAAAATATTAAAGATTTGATAAAAAAAAAAGTTAACTATGATTAATTGCTAGCCATCTTAAATTAGTTTTTGTAGTTTATTTTTGTTGATTAAATTTGGAGAGTTCGAAACAAAATCAAATCTCATATAGTTTTGATAGTTTGTGATTACAATGGACTGGACTTTAGATATTTTTTATGCTATTCATTTGATGAAATGTAATAGAGCTAGCCTTCTTACATTTTTTTTGGATATACAATTTTGTATGATATTCATTAATGACTATGTAATATAGCTTGTTTATGGTATTTTATTCACTGATGATTATATGAATAGTTTCGGATCATGTCACCTAGTTTTTTCAAAATTTTAATTAATATTATTGATATTTATTTTGTTTTAATGTACAGAAAAATAAATAAAGATTTCAAGGTCCTTCGGAAATGGAGTATTGAAGCGATAATATGTAACGAAAATTTATGAAGATCATGAGATATTTATTTGTGATTATAGAATAATTGTAGTAAATTTTTTTTGTTGTATCTATTTATGATTTTAAAAAAAAAAAAACTTAATTATGATACAGCAAATTCGTTTATTTGTTGTTTTCTTCATTTATGAATAAATGTATAATTAGTTATTTATGTAATTTATTTTACTATTTTACGTCTATAATTGTATTATTGAATATATATTTGATTTATATATGATTAAAGTATGTTGCATTCTTATATGATTAAAAAAAGTATTCATTTATGATTAAAATTATGTTGCAACTATATATGATTACAAATATTCCGACAAAAGATAAAATAGAAAAAAAAAAGTTGGTTTTTTTTTAATAATACGAGAAAACTGATAAAAAAAGATTTTTACATTAATTTAAGAAATAAAAAAATAAGTTCCTTATTTTAGGTAACCCTTCATTATGGCTAGATTTTAAGGATTTTTCATTTAAATTTGAATATGTTACAGTTTAATTTAAATATAAAATTACTAGTTTACCCTTATAAAATGATTGGTATAAAATTGTTCTCGCGTTCTCAACCTTTTTAGTGTTCTCATTTGATCTTTTCCCTATATATATATATATATATATATATATGGTAAAAGTGAATATACCCTTAAGGGTATATAAGCTTAGGTACCCAAACTCACCATACTAACCGTTTTGTATCATATATATACATTGTAATTGTCTAATATTCTTATAATTCAACTTCTAAGTTGATTTCATTCAAAGATTTTTATAAATTTCACATTTATTTCCTCTTACATCATTTTCATTTTCAACTATAATATATATAGCCTAATTGATGTTCGTCAAAAAGATGTGATGTAAGAGGAAGATAATAATGAAATTTTGAAAATCTTGAAAGTAAATCAAGTTAAAGATTGAAGTTGAAGAACATTGTAATAAATATATCAAACAAAACGATATATTATGGTGACTTTGGGTACCTAAGCTTATATACCCTTAAGGGTATATTCACGTTTCCCTATATATATATATATATATATATATATATATATATATATATATATATATATATATATATATATATATATATATTGGAAAATGGAATATACATTACAGCTCCACCTAAACTTAGGTACTAAACCTTTTGAAAATACATTGTTTTACTATATAAATATTACGGTTAATGGATTCACGATTAATACTTCAAGATGTAAATTCAAGATCGATACAATAGGGTTTAGGGTTTCGGGTTTAGAGTTTAGGGTTTAGGGTTTAGGTTTATGTTTAGGGTTTAGGGTTTAGTGTTTAGGGTTAAGGTTTAGGGTTTAGGGTTAGGGTTTAGGGTTTAGGGTTTAAGGTTTAGTGTTTAGATTTAGGGTTTAGGGTTTAGCTTTAGTGTTTTGGGTTAAAATTTAGGGTTTAGGTTTAGGTTTAGGGTTTAGTAATGTTCACTTGGATGAAGTAATAAACGATAATTGAAGAAAGAAAACGGAGATGATAAAACGATAATGAAAGAAAGAAATGTTATGGAGAATGATATATTTACCAAGTGAAACCAAACTGAGTATATTTAGCATGTTAAAACGACATATTTTAGAGGTTTAGTACCTAAGCTTAAGTGGGGCTGTAATGTATATTCCGTATCCCATATATATATATATATATATATATATATATATATATATATATATATATATATATATATATATATATATATATATATATATATATATATATATATATATATAGACACACGTACACACATTTACTCACCCCTACAAAATGACACATTAGAAAGAAAAAAAAAACACTGTATATAGTTAGTTTTAAGAAATGCACAGCAAAATAAATGATTATTTTTACTAATAGTAAACACCAGTTAGTTTAATCGATTAACCTAAGAAAAAATACTCAAAGATTCTCTTAAGGTTTAAAATATAAGGATAAAATACTCTAGTTTGAGTGTTTTACAGCAAATCCATACACCTTTGTAGGTCCATGGAAGCAATCGAGAAAGCAACCGATAAGATTAAAATTGCTCTTTCTCTCTCTTTCATACACACACATCGCCTAACAATTCTCCTCTTTCCAGTGGTTCACCGGTCGTCCTGTCATGAAACTCTCTCTCTGATAGTTCATATTACTTTGGCTTCTTTCAATCGATAAATCACCTAACTTTACATCACTTGACGCTGTGTGTGGGAGGTTACTTACAACGTTCTAGCACAGGGTTTACTTACGAGGGTAAGTCGGATTTCTTACGATGATGTGCTTTTGATTCTTTAATTTTATGATTCTTCTTAGGTTTCCGTTATGTTAAGTTTGTCTAAGATTTGTCATCTTGAAGTATCGCGTTGTGTGATTTTGATGAAACCCTAATCTTAGGTTTTGGAGCAACTTCATTCTGGATCTAGGATTTCGATCTTATATCTTAGGTTTTGTGGAATTGGAGTCAAATATCTCATAGCTCGAATCATTTTATGCTACTGATACATCGATTGTAGTCACAAAGTCCACTCTCCACAAATAAGTTTAAGATCGATTATATAAAGTCCACAATTCCATTACTGTATTGAATCTGTGATTGTTTGAAACTTATTAACTGTAAATGACTCTTGTAAGATAAGGGCTTTGATGATCTTGAACTCATTGCTCCATAAAACCCTTTTAAATGTTTTTTTTTAAATACTTTTACTAGGTAAGTACAATGTCAACTCCTGCTAGAAAGAGGCTTATGAGGGATTTCAAGAGGTTACAACAAGACCCTCCTGCAGGCATTAGTGGAGCACCCCAAGACAATAATATAATGCTGTGGAATGCTGTAATATTTGGGTACTCAATAATATTAAAATCTCAAGTTCATTCTTTTTTGTTTTCCATGTTTATATACATTTATATTCCAATCACATATTATGTAATACATATTGTCTTTTTATTTCAGCCCGGATGACAGTCCATGGGATGGAGGTAACATCATTTTCTTTCCTCTTTTTATATTTTTTTCATTATCATGTAATGCTAAATTATTAAAACATCATTGAACTAATAGGTACGTTTAAATTGGCTCTACAATATTCAGAGGATTATCCTAATAAGGCACCAACTGTGAGATTTGTTTCTCGTATGTTCCACCCAAATAGTAAGTAACTAAGCAAAATCATAACTCTATAAGAAACAATTTATTATTTTCATGTAGTTTGCTTCAGTTATTGTTTACTAATAATACGTATTTGTATACAACAAACAGTTTATGCTGATGGAAGTATTTGTTTGGACATCTTGCAAAATCAATGGAGTCCTATCTATGATGTTGCTGCTATTCTCACCTCCATCCAGGTATAACTTTCTATGAATTTTTTTTATGCATTATATTAACGAAATACTAATGGGTTAAAATACATTCTATAATAAAAAATATATATGAAAATGAAAGTACATTGCTATTTTGACAGTCGTTGCTTTGCGATCCAAATCCGAACTCTCCCGCAAATTCAGAAGCTGCGCGGGCATTCAGCGAAAATAAACGCGAGTACAACAGGAGAGTGCGAGAGATTGTTGAGCAGAGCTGGAATGCTGACTAAATTGGTTATATCATATAATATATCCATGTAATAAAAATGTACTTTAAGACTTATTTTATTTTAGACGTTGTACTATTTTATATGTAAAATAAATACATGTTTTGGTTTTCTTTCAATTTAGGATTAAATTTAGGGAACACTGCAAAAATGGTCCTTGGGGTTTGCACTTTCTTTGGCTAAGGTCCAAAAAAGATTGAACTTGCAAAAATAGTTTCTTGCAAGGTGTGGTTGTGGTTTTGGTCTCTTAACTTGATACCACTAACCATATGTTAAGTACTAGGGAAATTACTAAATTAGTACAAAGGATGTCAATAGGGGCAAACGGGGATGGGCATCCCCCGCCCTCACCCCACCACCGAAATTCCCCCGTTCCTCTGCCCTCGCCCTTGTTTTCAAAATCTCTACCCTCCCCACCCCGCCCCTAAATCTTGGATTACCCCTGTCTCCGCATATGTTTGGGCTTTTTTTTTTTTCTGAGCTAAAAGAAATTATTTTATGGTTAAAAATAGTTATTTATATCATAATTTTAATGTAAAAAGCAAAAATAGTATAACATTTAAAAAACGTTATACTAACAATTTAAAAACATGATATTTTGTTGATTTTGGGAGTTCAAAATCATTGTTATCAACTTATTATTTATATATTTATATAATAATATAATTAATATATTAATGGGGTCCCCATTGAGGGTTCGAGATGGGATTGCCTACCCCGTCTCCGCCCCCGAAATTACAACAAAGGTTGATCTTGCCCCCGTCTCCGATTTTTTAAACAAATATCTCTAATATTGGATCAAGGTCTCACGTGATTTTTTAACAACCCTAATTAGTATCCTTATTATTTATTTTTATTGGTATATGTTATTCTTTTGCTCCCAACATCTATCGTACATTATATTAAATACACAACCCTAAAATCCATTTGCAATCAGCACCTACTCTTTATTTCATCTTCACTGGCAATCACATCTCTAACTCCACCAAACCCCTTTTCATGCTTAGGGATAAAAGAAGTACTTGAATCACATGGGAAAGACCAAACACTAAACTTTTGTGATGGATTTTGTGTCGATTACATGGTTATGGGACTCTCTATGAGATTGGTTCTAAAGAAATTTATAGGCTTAGGATGGTTATGGTATTAACATATATCATTAATTTTGTGTATATATATATATATATATATATATATATATATATATATATATATATATATATATATATATATATATATATATATATATATATATATATATATATATATATATATAGAGTCAAGATCAAATAAGAAGGAAATTTTTGGTAGGAAGGTAAGAAGTTTTTTTTCTACATATTTTTTTCACGAACAAATAAAATGAATCATTAAATGATTCATTTGTAAGATGATTCACAAGAAAAAATTCTCAAAAAAACATCTCGATGATTCATTTATATAATGATTTTGTTGTTATTCACTAAAATTGTCATAAAAGTGATTTTTTTCATAATTTACTTAAAAATGAATCATAAAGATGTATTTTTAAGAATTTTTTCTTGTGAATCATCTTACAAATGAATCATCTAGTGATTCATTTTCTTTGTTCGTAAAAAAAATATGTAGAAAAAGAACTTCTTACCTTCCTATAAAAAAAAATTTCTTACCGGATCTATATCCTATATATATATATATATATATATATATATATATATATCAAGATTATAAAAAACGTTCGACATTAGCTAGTCGGTGGACTGGAGTCAAGGGATTAATCGGCTAGGCGGTGATTTATCGAGAGATTAATCGGGTACCATTAATTGCTAATTGATTTTAAAAAAATTAAATATGACTAATATCATATCAAAGAAACAAAATAGGTTAATATGATCAATACAATACTAATCATATCTCAGATTGTTTCCATTGAAATAAAACTTCTTCAAAATGTTAAAATTTTATTGTTTTATAATGTTTCACTCATTATGTATGCAGAGATTAACCTCTAGGTGCCATCTAATCGGTCGAGTAGCGCCTAGGGATTAATCGGGACCTAGTCGGAATTTTTACAACATTGATATATATATATATATATATATATATATATATATATTATTATTATTATTATTATTATTATTATTATTATTGTGGTTTTAAAAATATACTATAGTTTATATGTTATGTTAGCAATATAAAGTTTCTTAGGTATATTTACTTACACCCTAGAATGGAGATTTATGGTATTGTTTTTATTATTTATGCTATGATTTGGATTTATTTATTATGAACTTTAAATGTTATAAATGGAGGTGTGATGTGAATGCAATGTAAAGTCATGGCAAATTATAATGTTTTTCAAGACGTGATAATTTTATAAACATTAAAAAAGATAAATGATATAATTATAGAATTATATAAAATATATCTAATTTTTATAAGTGTTATATCATTTAATATGAAAGTTATAAATTTCAATGTTATATGTCTAATAAGAAAGAAAAACAAATCGCGTCATAACGTGATAAGACGCACATTGACTCGTTATTTGGGTGCTACGAGTAACAAATCCGTCTTGGATGTTTTTGATACGGCTACACCATACATCGCGTCATGACATGTCTTGATGCACGATATGGTGTGTCTTTTAGAACGATGTTAAATTTAGATATTTTAAAATTTGTACGTTAGATGATTTCAAGTTAATTTTAGGATGATGTTGTGATCATGTTTTCCGGAAATTTCAACAAGTGATATTTAAGACATTGTGATCATAAATGGAAACCCCGGGGTATACTTCCAAGCCCGATGGTTATTTACTACTCGGGTTTGGTATATAGTTTTATAATCGATTATGGGACTGGATCACCGATACCCATGCCAAATGTGTCCCATTGCCATCCCTATGATGTCTTCTTCCTCCTTGCCTTTTCCTTCATTGGATACCAAAAATGAAACAAATCACCACCCTCCTAAAGCAAACTTGAGAATGAATCCAAATGAGGGATTGTGAATGTGATTCAACAAATCCATAATCTCTCGTCTTCCCTATACTGTCTTCCTATCCTACACCCATCCTTTTTTTAGATGCACCTCCATCGACTTCCACTACCTCTGACAATTCCCTTCACCTCCTACTTTCTTCTCTACTTTTTCCCTATTCTTTCCTATTACACCTCACTCTAAATACATAAAAAAAAAATCATAAATTTTACATTAATCCACCTACATTAAATAGAAAATAAAATATAATACTGAAACAAAATATAATTTTAGATAAATACACACACATCAAAAAGCTTCATCACGTTTGCCATGTATTTTTATTCAAATTAAGAGAAATCTAAATATATGTGAAACGACCACTAAAGTTTGTTATGTAAAATGCTTTATTTTCGTATGTTTTTATTCAATTTAACTGATTCAAACAAATTTTTTTCGTAAAAATCGGCTAGTTTGTTCCGTTCTAAAAAAGGGCATAAACCGGTGCTCGTTGATCCATTCCAACCGCTTTGAACCAATTTTTAAAACATTGGTGTTAGTAAATGCAAAGCCTCATTTTTATTATATAATATCAAGTTTATTCTCACATCATGGTTTTTTAAAGTCCTTTTGTTATTGTTTGGTCAACTTTGTGAGGAATTGTCATAAATTACTAAATGGCATTTATGATGGCCTAGCGAGGATCGTTTTGGTAGAAAATACGTTAAAAAGAGTTACTCATATTCGAATCCCATAGGCTTCATTTGTAGAGTGCCCATTTGTTCAAAAAATGTAGAATGTAAGGTGCAGGGAAAGAAAAAACAAGCTGTGGTGTAAGCTAACCGCACAATGTGGTTACACTTTACACACATGTTAATGCAAATATGGTTAATTCTGAGGATTCAAATGCATATAACGAATCAGAAAAATGCTCTTACGCCCTAACGTGTAATGAATTAAACTATATATATATATATATATATATATATATATATATATATATATATATATATATATATATATATATATATATATATTGGTTTGTAAATGACGAGAAACTTTATAGCAATAAATATAGTAAAAGCATAGTAGTTTACTGAATAATGAAATATTGTAACAACTAACCGACAACCCGTAAAGCTCTTCTTACATTCTTGATAGCAAATTGGTTGATCAACTATTCGTAGGCTATACTCTCTAACAGAGGCAGGGCCGACCCCAAGATTTCAATGGTCTTGTGCAATTTAGTAAAATAGGCCCTAAAGCTTATAAATAAATAAAAAAACATAAAATTCTTGTTTTTCATAGTTGTAATATACATAAAATTCTTACATTTTTCATGTCAAACACATTTTAATTCCATGAGGTATATTACAGAAAAAGAAAACACATATGATTTATAAATTTCTTTTTTCCTTTGTGCTTTTTAGATTTCCTCTCTTGATCAACCAAGCTAAAATCTGATAAACTGAAATGTAAAAGAGAGAAATATAAAAAGAATAATTCAATAAAATTTAAAACATAATCTGAATTGTATAAATCACAAATATAAAAATTAGAAAGTTAGAAAAGATTTATTGCTTTACCAATCAAAAAACCACTTGAACAAAAACTAAGAACAAGGAGAATTCGATAGCCAACACACAATGAATCTTTTGAGCAACACTGTTATGTAATAGGAACAATAAAACACAAACTCAAAAATATAAAATCTCTCACATTGTGCAACAAAATCAGAAAATAAGAGTAAAAGTAAAAGATTTGAAGAAAAAAACTGATATGCAATTCTAGAAATCAGAAAATTACATTCTGATTTTTCAACACTTCAAAAAAATTCTAAAAATCTAAAATTTCTAAACCTCAATGTTGGATTCATAGTCACACACTGAGTCATAAAAAATGAAAGGAAAAACATTCATTTAATTCTTACAAATCAGAAATGAAAAAAACAAAAAAACAAAACCTTATTTACTTGTACCTACAAAATTCATAAAATGATTTCCTCAATGCCTTGTTCTTCTGTATTTCGAAATTGGTTTCCTTATTCCTTTGATTTTGGAAACTGATTAGTGTCTACCTTAAAAAAAAATAGAGATAAAAAAAACTAATTTTCGAAAAGAAAGAAGAAGTGAAGAACAAAGCTTCTATGAAATTTGATTAGAGTGATACCTTCACTAGTGGTTTCCTAATTCCTCAAAACTTGTGTGAAATTTGAAGCTTCTAAAACCTGAATCTGATTTTCGAGGAGAAAGAAGAAGTGAAGAATGATGGTAATA